AATAAATAATTATTATCTTTATAAAACAATTATATTATTAAACCAAATATAAATTACTTCGTTATTGTACATAAATTAAATTATAAAAAAATTGAATTAAAAAATTACAAAAAAATGAGGAATTTCAAATAGTTAATTTGATACTAATATCGATATATTTTTGTTAAATTTTATTGAAATCTTCAAACATATATTTTATTTAAAAAATAAAAACATCATCGATTTCTCAAAATCACATAAAGTCATATTATAACATCGACTGAGATAAAGAATAAAATGAAATATTAAAATCACGATGTATCTCGCTGCATTGCGCGAGTACGCTTCTAGTTTAATTAAATGAGATGGATTGGGTTGAAATTTTAAACCTGTTTAATAAATGGATTGAGATTTTAAACCTGTTTAATAAATGGGTTGAGATTTTAAACCTGATGGGTTGAACTCGAACCCAATTTAACCTGACCCATTGCCACCCCTAGGTCTAGAGGATCAAATGTACCGATACTCGATACCGTAACTATCATATGACATTGTTTCTAATATCATACAAAATACTAAAAACATATATCATTTCAACATTATTTCAACTGTCTAAGTGAATATCAAACTGTATTTCTTAATTTACTCATATTATCATTCTTTACATGTCGTCCAAACAAACTACTTTCCCATTTTTGGCCTGCAAATTTTGATTTACATTTAAAGATCGTTTATTTTTCTTAAAAAAATTGATTAGTATGGGACAGAGTGGAATACAATTATTCAAAAAGTCGATAACTCAAACAAGTAATTATGGTTAAATTAGTTTATCGATCAGTACTAAAAGTCGAGACTTGAACCCATAATATTTAAATTATTACTAGAAGGGTACTCGTGCAATGCATCGAGACACATCTTGATTTCAGTGTTTTGTTTTATTCTTTTTTTATGTCGAATAATACGGTTTTATGTGTTTTTGAGAAACCGATAATGTTTCTATTTTCGAATAAAATATACATCTAAAAATATCATAGATTTTTTATAAAAAAATATCGATATCAGTATAAATTAATCTTTTTAAAAGTTCTTGTGTTTTTGTGTAATTTTCTTAATTAAGTTTTTTTAATTATAATTTAATTTAGGTTTAGTAACAAGGAAATTTAATTTAGGTTTAATAATATAATTTTTTAAAATGATAATAACTAAATATTTTGTTAGAACTCTATGATTATCCTAATTATATTTTAGATTTTTTATATTTAAAATGAGATGTTTATCTAATATTTGATTATGTTTATCTGCAGTTAGTTACACGAATTCAAATATGGAGCTTTAATAAGTTGTACTTATGCATAATTTACTTGTAATATTAAATTTTAAGTACTATGCATTAATAAACAATATTTCTTCTATAAATAATGGTTTTTAAGAGTTTTTGTAAAATAGATTAATAAAATATTAAAAATGATAAAAACCATCATACTATAACTTGTATATTATAATAAAATAAAAATATATAAAAAGTTGAATTGACTATTTAGGAATCTATTCAAAATTTGAAAAAAGAAATGGGACTTGACTTTTTTGTTGGGCTTCTTCCTTTGGAGCCAAACCTTGTTTTGAAAACCCCCAATGTCTTTTATCTCGCGCCGTCTCGCTTTCTTCCCTTTGGATCGGGCGATTTTGCAGCTAAACACGGTAAATCTTCGTGTTTTAATCCACTAAAATTACTTCAATCAACCTATTATTCGATTTCAAATCCGATTCTTCTTGTAACTTGAATTTGATTTTCTTCAATTTGAAAATCGTCTTCTCTTTTTACCTACACTTGATTCTCAGATGAATTCATTGCATATGTATTTGAATTTGAATGTGATTTGGGACTTGTTGTTGTGGCTGATTCTTTTTTGTTTTTATACATTTGTATAAGCCATGAAAATCTTCAGTTTTATGTCTAGGGCATTACTAATGAACCAAATTAAACAAACCCCGTTTTGATGTGTTTGATTAATTTATTATTAGCTTGAGTTGATTAAGTTTCAGTCATATTGATTTCAATTATAATTCTCACTAATGATGGAAATGCAATGTAGTCAAAATCAACTTCATTTTGCTGTCAATTCAGTAAGGGTTTTAGTAATTGATTGGTTTCATTAATGGATATTGTATGCTATGATTTTTGAAAACATCAATGTTGCGTTTGTTGGAAATATTAAGAAAAATCAGAGAAGTTTATTGAAGGATCGATGGTTTATTAACCGGAGACTGCCTCAATATATAGGCTTACAGGACTGAAAAAAGAGAATTTAAAGACTCAACAGAAACTAGCTAAAAAGAAGGAAAAAAAATCTGCTGATACTCCTAATGACCAAGTAAAACTTTGAATCATTCAACATTCCCCCTTGATTCAAAAGTGTCAACTCCTATCTGTGCTCGGAGGTCTTCAAACTTAGCTTGAGGTAAAGCTTTGGTGAACATGTCTGCCAGTTGTTGTTCTGATCTGCAAAGCTCAACTTTAATCTGTTCTTCAGCTACCAATTCCCGAATAAAGTGATGTTTAATCTTTATGTGCTTCGTTCTTCCATGCAAAATTGGATTCTTCGTAAGTGCTACTGCTGATTTGTTGTCACATAGCAGTTGTGTTGGATACTTTTGCTTTTGATTCAAGTCTTCAAGTAATCTTCTTATCCAAACTACCTGACATGCTGCTGCAGTGGCTGCCACATACTCAGCTTCTGTAGACGACAAAGCTACGGTTGGTTGTTTCTTGGAGACCCAAACAACAGGCCTGATCCAAGAAGGATGCAATTTCCTGTTGTGCTTCTTCCATCTTCTTCTGAGCCTGCCCAGTCACTGTCCGAGTATCCCTTGAGCTGAAATTCTGCTTGAGTTTTGTACCAGATCCCCAAATTTAATGTAGCTGCTACATATCTTAGTATTCTTTTGGCTGCACCTAAGTGTTGCTTGCTAGGACAATGCATGAATCTAGAAACCAATCCGACTGAATATGCTAAGTCTGGTCTGGTGTGAGTGAGATAGATCAACTGCCCTACTATGAATTTTCCCGCATCTGTTAATCCTGTGCCATCATCAATCATGAGTTTCTCACCTACATTCATCGGAGTCCCAACCATTTTGCAGCCCACCATGCCAAAACTCTTCAAGATGTCTGAGGCATATTTATGTTGGGATATAAATATGCCTCTCTTGGTTTGCTTCACCTCCAATCCAAGAAAGTATCTCAACTCCCCTAAATCAGTCATGTCGAATTTGCTTGTCATGGCTTTTCTAAATTCTGAAATGAGATTGAGGGAGGAACTTGTGTATATCATGTCATCGACGTAAAGACTTACTACCACAATATCTTTTAAGCCTTGCTTCTTTACAAATAGCGTCGGCTCATTTGGACTTCTCTCAAATCCATTTGTAAGAAATAATTCATTTATCTTGCTGTACCAAGCCCGAGGAGCTTGCTTCAAGCCATAAAGAGCTTTTTCAAGCTTATATACTTTATGTTCCTTTCCACATACTTCAAAACATTCAGGTTGTACATAAACCTCCTCCTTTAGTTCCCCGTTTAAGAATGCAGATTTTACGTCAAATTGTAAAACCTGCCATTGCATTTGTGCTGCGAGTGAGAGGATAACTCTTACCGTTTCAAACCTTGCCACCGGTGAAAATGTTTCTTCAAAATCTACACCTTGTTTTTGTGCATATCCGCGTGCCACCAATCTCGCCTTGTACTTTTGTATTGTTCCATCTGAATGCACCTTTGTCTTGAAAATCCATTTTAGATTGATTGCCTTCTTCTCCTTTGGTAATTCAACTAGCTTCCAAGTCTTATTCTTCTCAATAACATTAATTTCTTCTTGCATAGCTTGTTTCCAAACATCTTCTTTTATGGCATCTTCTACAGTTGTTGGATCACTAGCAAGCATGACAAAATCATCTCCTTTTCCTTCAACTGGGAAATGACGCTTAGGAATCAAGCCACGCTCACTTCGTCTTACCGGTACTTCTTCACTGTTTCTGTCATCTAGAGAGGCTTCAGAATCACTACTTTGAGATGAYTCTACAKTTTCGTTGCTCGAAGAGGAAYCTGTGTTGTTGCAGCTTGAAGGAGTACCTTGARGTTGAGGATTGACCAGCGGCTCTTYGTGTGTGCCTTCCTCCTCGTTATCCAGAATTAAATCTGAATTAGGCTTGGTGATGCTTGTACTCCATGCTTYCTGCTCACTAAATTGCACATCTCTACTGATCACCATAGATTTTTCATTTGGATCAAATAGTTTATATGCTTTGGATTTCGTGGAATACCCCACAAAAATGTACTTCTTTGCCTTTTGATCAAGCTTATGTCTTCCTGATGGAATCAAAGCATAGCATACRCAGCCAAAAATGCGAAGATGACTAACCGATGGTTTGAACTCGTACCAGGCCTCGAATGGAGTCATATTCCATATTGCTTTTGTAGGTGACAGATTCAGCAGGTAGACAGCAGTAGTGACCGATCCAGCCCATAATTCATCACCTAGTCCTTTGGCTTTGATCATTGAACGAGCCATTTCTTGTATAGTTCTGTTTTTTCGCTCCGCTATACCATTTTGTTGAGGGGTATAGGGAGCCGTAAGCTCTCTCTTGATTCCATGTTCGCCACAATAATTGGTGAACTCCTTAGAAATGAACTCTCACCCTCTATCGGTTCTGAGTACTTTAATACTTTCACCACTTTGATTTTCTGTTAAAGCTTTGAWTTTCTTAAAGAAATCAAATGCTTCTGATTTATGTGTGAGAAAATAAACCCAACTCAGTCTTGGAAAATCATCGATAAAGAGTAGAAAGTATTTCCGACCTCCAAGTGAAGCGGTTTACATGGGTCCACATATGTCTGCATGGACCAACTGTAACTTATTCTCGGCTCTTTTTGCTTGCCCAGTAGGAAACGAAGTCCTTGTTTGCTTCCCCAACGCACATCCTTCGCAAGGGTTGTTCACATCTTTGACTGTGGGTAAGCCTTTCACCATCTCTTTAGCCGCAAGCAGCTGTAATCCGTTGATATATAAGTGACCATAACGTTGATGCCACAACGTTGTAACATCATCTTTGCCGCTCATCATCATTGATACTCCCTGTTGTTAGAGAAGTCTATCGGAAACATCCTGTTTTCTGTCATTAGTGATTTAAAAAAAACATCTCCTGTTTTGTTTTTAATAACACAAGAATCGTTATGAAACAGTACTAAGAAACCAGATTGAAGAAGTTGACCCACACTTAACAGATTGTGAGCAAGACCCGGTGCATAATTGACATTCTGAATTGTTTTTACCTTCTCATTGACTTTGACTACAATTGTTCCTTTTCCTTCAATTTTCACCTGTTTATCATCTCCCAATCTTACCTTAGATTTATGAGTTTCATCCAAGTCCTTGAACTTGCTTTTGTCACTTGTTACATGGTTTGAACAAGCACTATCTACGAACCAGACTTCATTTGGGATGGTTTGAAGACTTACATAAGTCATGAATAAGCAATCATCTTCCTCTTCTACATATTGTGATTGCTTCTCCTTGTACCAACAATCACTTTCTTTATGACCATATTTTTTGCAGTTGGTACATTGGACAGTGGTCATCCTTCCACGCCCTCTTCCTCGGATTGCAACTCTTCCTCTGCCTCGATTGTACCATGATCTGGTTTGTTCACCTTGCACTTGAAAAGCTTGTTCCTCTTCACTTGTTGTGGATCTGTTGATTCTTGTTTCATGAGTTGAAGAGACCCCATGAGTTCATCTACGGAGAATTTGGACAGATCTTTCGACTCTTCAATGGCTGCGACTACATGATCGAACTTTGGAGTCAAGCTTCGTAGTATCTTGGCCACCACAGTTTCATCTGTCACTTTGTCGCCATATGCTCTTATTTGACTAACAACTGATGAAACCCTTGCGAGATATGCTTGTATAGTTTCATTGCTTTTCATGTTGGCGGTTTCGAAATCCCTTCTCAGAAACTGTAATTTTACAGTAATAACTTTTCCCGATCCTTGATATTCATTCTTAAGTACATTCCACGCCTCTTTTGCTGTAGAGGCTGATGCAATTCTTGAAAATATAGATTCATCTACTGCTTGTTGGATGAAGAATAAAGCTGTAGCATCTTTCTTGTAACTTTCTTTGTTAGTTGCATCGTCACCTTCAACAACTCCGTTCTCCACCAAATCCCATAAATCTTGAGATTGAAATAAAGTTTTCATCTTTATGCTCCAAAACTCGTAAGAATCCCCTTTGAATATGGGGATCTGGGGTTGTGAGACGTTTATGGTTGCACTGTTTGCTGCCATCTTACTGCTGAAGACGGAAAACCTGAGTTACAACCTGGCTCTGATACCAGAATGTTGGAAATATTAAGAAAAATCAGAGAAGTTTATTGAAGGATCGATGGTTTATTAACCGGAGACTGCCTCAATATATAGGCTTACAGGACTGAAAAAAGAGAATTTAAAGACTCAACAGAAACTAGCTAAAAAGAAGGAAAAAAAATCTGCTGATACTCCTAATGACCAAGTAAAACTTTGAATCATTCAACAGCGTTTGTACTTTGTATTTTACAGTTTTGTTATAGGTGCATCATTTGGAGTAATATCTTTGTTTGTTTTTATACTGATCTTATAGTTAGCAACTTAGCATTTCGGCATCTGATCTCCTATGCTGCTTGTAACTTTTCTAGTTTCTGCTGGAAATATTGTTTTTCTTGATCTAGTACTCTTTAGAAACCATGTGTTGCTGTTTATTGAATCTAAGCTAGCAATTCTTTCATTTTTAGCTGTTGTCCTGGCTGTCAAAAAAACGACATTGGTGGTGTTGTTCTAATATTCACGTAGACCTGATAAAATGATTCACAATATGGGATTCTTGTGTCTAAACTGGCGTTTTGTTGTTTTTTATTGATGAATTTCATCTTGTTGCCAGGCCGGTTAAACGAAGTTGTGCAGGATTAATTTATAAAAGTATCAAAATGATTAATTCTGAGATCAATACGATTGAGCTTGGGACCAATGTAGCTGGCACCACCACATTCCGTAAACTGCCGGTTTTAGCCGCAAAAAAGGTAGCACTTAGGGATGTGCAGAACAATAATAGTAACGTAACACGTGCCATCCAACCGGAAAGTTTGCTTCCCATTGAGGGGCAATCATTTGTAGATGCAGCTAAAACATGTGGAACTAAAAGGCTTACACCAGATTATGCTTCACCTCCTCTCTTGGGCAATAATGGTGCACACGAGCATTTCAATTACCCCCGTAGGAAATATGAATTTGAAGGAAACCGAGGAAGGAATCTGGGGAGTACAGAAAAAAATGTGGGTTATCCACCATCTGCAGATGTACCCCAAATTCAGCAGGAAGTAAACCAGATAAATGGGAAGAATATGCGTTACGGGTCTTTTGTGGCACCAAACCACATAGCTTCGAAGACTTCTGTTCCTCGGTTTAAAGAGTCTAAAGATGAACAGAGGACTGAACGATTCATGCGCTTGCAGAATTTCATCAAGCAATGTGATGGATTTAATCATAGAGAGAATATTCAACGTATGATACCACGTTGAGTTGATTTCTGTTGTATTTTGGTGAAAATAAGCTGTTGAAGCTCACATTTAAATGGATCTATTTTGATTTTTCTGATTCTTGTGATCTTACAGCACTTCTGCATTTATCACCCTTGGAGCTTAGCAGACATGCAGTTGAGTTAGAGAAAAGAGCAATTCAGCTGACCATAGAAGAAGGTATGGGAAAAAGTATAAACCCCTTGAAAGTCCTTTTTTGACTTTAAAGATGCTTCATTTACAAATCTTGCGAAAGTTATAGCTTTCATCAAGCAACTGTGCAACAATTGGCTCTATATGTAGTTTACTGAAGTGTTTGACTTTAGTTAAATGAGATGAAAATGCCCTCTAGTAACAACTAACAAGAAGAAAGACGAAACCTTGTCGACCAAAATCAATACTGTATGACAATATGATATTATGTACTTTGCCCACAGAGGTGCTGTACCGAGATATGTACTTGAACTTCTTTTACCTATTTTCGGGTGTTGCTGTTTGAACCCCTTTGGGTCAAATAAGAGTTTTTGGAAATGTAAATATGGAAAATTTGACTTAAGAATAGATCTATAGGGAGGGGTTCAAATGGCATATAAGAGTAGAATCACTTCTCTTTTATTGGTTTTAAGTGTTCTGCGGTTGCAGGAAAAGAGATGCAGCGAATGCAAGCATTGAACATCTTGGGGAAGCCTTTGTCAACCAGAACTCCGATGCCAATAACACAAGATATCCAACACAAGAACTAAATTCTAATCCTGCAAATAGGTTTATCAACTCGTGTTACACAACTACGACAATAGGGTGCCTGAATTCCGAGGTAAACTTGCTGTTGCCTCATACTCATATGCCACATTTTTCATATTAAATTTTGTTCATTTTTTTTTTGCTAAATTTTGTAACTTATGATATGAACTAATGCACTCTGTATGTTCATTTTACTCTTTTACTTTTTTTTTGGTTTTGTTTAATTTAGTTTTTGGTACTCACTTCCACTTCAAATTCACTGGTCTGTAGCATGAGTTCAAATTCTCACTTCATTTTAAGCATCCTTTTTTTAGGAACCTTTATTTTTTAGAACTCTCTATCGTGAGACCTCTTAGAATGAGTGCATCATGTGTTATTTCATATTATTTTCTTTTTCATCTATGGCTATAATTTAATGTAGTGACTAACATATATTTGTTTCACATGTATTCAATTCACAATGTAAACCTTTTTGGCGTGTGTATGAAACAAAATATACACGTAAAAAAATCTCACATTGTGAATTGGGTATATATGAAACAAACACATTGTAAAACAAATATATATTAATCAATACGTTAATACTATACTTAGATGGAAAAAGATCATTTGAAACAAAACCTTATGTAGCTTTTGGTACGCAACATGATTGGACATGACAAGAGGGTAGGACTGGACTGGACGAGACAGGATTGGACAAAACAAGTGTTTGTCCGGTGTTTGGTATGACTAGGACTTGACATGATATAACTAGACAAGTTGCCCCAAAAAGTTATTTTATGATTTTATATATTATATAATAGTTATAATTAACAAAAATAAAGTAAAATAATTTAATTTATAAACATTTTTACACAATTTTCATATACATAAATATAAAATAATACCAAATTTAGGGCAATCACTCATTCTTTAAACCAACGTTCTTAAGGTTGAAGAGTCGGCAGAAAAGGGGAGAAAGCTCTCCGCTAGATCCTCCGGAACCACAAGAATCCTTAGTTAGAATTAGAATTGGAGTCCAACTCAGCACCTATTGAGTGAGATTTTGAGAAGAGTTGCTCTTCGGAGAGAATAGTACAATAAACGTTGTATGTTGTGTTTGGGGGGAAGTTATTGTCTATCGTTGGCCTCTATGGTAGAATCGGTCAGGACCTGAGAGGTGGTGGTTTACCCTGGATGTCAGCGATTCGAGTCCACTTATCTCCAACTCATGAATTTAGACGATACAAAACTATATGATAGCACCCAGTTTTTCCGATTTGGCGGTTCGATCTATGGTTCATCATTCATGGACGTTGATAAGATCCATTCATTTTAGCAGTACCTTAGGATGACATAGCCTTAAAATTAAGGGCGAAGTTCAAACGAGGAAAGGCTTACGGTGGATAACTAGGCATCCAGTGAATTTTTTTATATAATTGATGGTAGTTTGAAAAAAACTGATTCATATAAAGGAGAAATTATGTTTTATTCGGTTTGGAAGATCCTTATCAATTGGTGAAGGCACGGTGAAGATTGTTGCACCAACAATGGTTGTGGAGGTAGAAGAATTGGTAATTGGTGGATGATGGTGGTTGTGGAGGATGTGAAGATGGTGGAGGAGGTAGTTGTGGCCTATGTGGTGGAGGTCGGTGTGATGCTGGGCATTGGTGGCTGACGATATTAGTGGTTGTGGAGATGGACGGTGATGGTTGTGGAGGACGTTAATATGGTAGATAGTGGTAGTGGTAGTTGACAGTGGTAGCCGGTGGTTGTGGTGGGCAGTGGTAGTCGATGGTGGTGGTTATGGTGGAAGTGAGGTAGCCCATGGTGGTGGCAATGAACTTTGTTGGTCGGTGGTCGACGATGGTTGAGGAGGTGGTGGATGAGGTTGTATTAGAGGAGAAGGTGGAAGTGGCTAACGGTGATGGTGAGGAGAAGGTGGTGGTCGGTGGCCGACGATGGTTGTGGAGGTGGTAGAGGAGGTGGTTGTAATAGAAGAGGATGTGGAGATGGACAGTGGTGGTCGGTGGCCGATGGTGGTTGTGGAGGTGGTGATAGACGGTGGTGGTCGGTGGTCAATGGTGGTTGTGGAGGTGGCTATGGTGGTGGCGAAAACTAGCGATGATAACCATTAAAACAAATACCATGTTAAGGTTATATATCAAACGAAGTTTAATTAGTAATATTTTAGTTTCTATCTCATTCTTGTCCCTTGTTCCACCTATTTTGGTGGAACAAGAAAAAAACTTTTTTTTTTCCACGCTGTCCCACCTTGTCCCGGTTATTGTCCCTGTCTTTTGCCGCACCAAACATGGGACAGTGAGTTCTTGTTTTGTCCCATGTCACGCCAAACGTGAGACAACGAGTTTTTAATCGTCCTATCCTATTATGTCCCATGTACCAAACACGGCCTTATGGTAAAAGTTTTCATCGATCTTACAAATTTTGGAGTTTTGAAATGATTAAACCCTTTTACATTAAATCTATCCACTTGATCTGTTACTAGTACATCTTGAGAGAAGTCATGGCTATTTACCAATGGACTAACACTTTTGTTGGCAAGTACATTCATCTACCACTAGTTCCGCTTACATCTGGACCCTACATCTCTGTAAGATTTATCGGGTCTGTTTAATTTGGTTTATTCATCTATGTTTTCTAGATTCATGATTATGGTCGAACTTTTGGCCTAAGAATCTAATGTGTTAAAACAATTTTTGGTTTGACGAATAAACAGTTCAACATTTGAACATCTTATTGGTCAATTTTGAGATAACTGTTTCTCAATTTGACAGATGGTTTGATGATATGTTTATCTTCTTGGTAAGTAACGTGAGAAGTTTCATTATTTTTGAAGTTTTAGAAAATAAAAAAAATTCAAATCCAAGATGACTTGTGTTTATGATTCAACAATTGTGAAGATTTTATGTAAGTTTTAGATATTTGTAGTCAAAAGTTTCTGCAACAAGATTATTAGAACTTGGGTCGAATGTTAAAAGAATTTATGGATGTTTGGTTAGAGATATTAAACAATAATCAATGCGAATGAAAATAAAGGAAATTGTTTGGTTTTTTCAAATATAATGAGCTCATTCCTCTTGAAGCCCAAAACTTTATTCCTGGTTAAACTGGGGGGAATGAAAATTTATTCTCATTTTCATTCCCTGTTATTTTCATTCCGCAACATTAGCCAAATAATTAGTTGTGTTCACCTATTGAGTTGTAAATGTTAAAGAACATCCATTACAAGGTTTTCTAATGATTTTTTACATGATCCATTTTTTTTTGACATAAAATCAATATTTTTAATTTTTTAGTATGTTTTTTTTTAATGTTTATTAATTTTTTTTTTCACTATTTAGTATGTTATCGCATTTGGTTTCACCTTTTGCTATAGATTGGGTCATTTGCTCTAACTTTACTAACCAATGCTCTGTTACATCATGGGTAATATCGTCTTTTATAATTATCTTTTTAAAATTATGTTTCAAAGAAAAATAAGTAAAAAAACAATATTATCTTAACATAACAAAAAAATGGTTAGTGAAGTTAGGACAAATAGACCCACTCACTCTATGATAAAAGTGAAACCATAATGACTGTATTTGTAATTATTTCAATTGAGGGACCACAGAGACGGAATTTGTAATTTACTCTATAAACAAAGTGCTAGCTAAAACATGATTGTGATTTAGAGTACTTTTCTAAGGAAGTTTTGGTAGCTTTTTGTTTTTGATATTCAAATCACATGTGCTTTCTTCGTTAATATCTATATCATTGCAAGTGATTTTACAAACAAATCCAATCAAAGCCCTTGCCAAAAGGAAGAATGTGTACTCAAACTTGTACAACAGTTTCGTTCCATCATAAATAACCCACTGTTAGATCAATGTGTCCCGAGGTGGGCTCGAGAAAAATGTAGTAGTCAAATAGCCAAACCACTCTAGAGTGATGCGTTTCTTATTCCCTTCCCCAAAGTCTTATATTTCTGCATTTGTGTTCGTGTGTGAAGTGAAGAAATTCTGAAAGCAATTTTATGTGCAAAATAACCTCCCTCCAAGGTTTGTCCACACATCCATGACAAGAATAAAGTAATCAGATAGACCGAGGTTATTTCGCTACCACAAAACAAGGATTTTAAATATCTGGTCAGTGTCTTTAAATAATGTGCACCACCTAAGAAATTATCCCTCGAGTACGATAGTGAGGTTTTGCCTACCAGCGTTGTTCCGAATATCCCTAATCAAGAGTAACATCGTACATAAAGTATGATTGTGTATGTAGAAGTCGAAAGACAAAGATGTTTGCTTGTTAAACGAGAGGACACAAAAATAGTTTGTTCTATAAATCCACCATTTTATGAATAAGATGGAGTTAGGTTTTTGGGTGTGAAGGAGATCTACCCTTGAGCTTATGGGCATAATATAAAAGCAGTCCCCGTTTTTTTTAACAGTGCGTATACGGGTCGATTTATGTGTGCCTTAACTAATTTCATGGTGACCTACCAAAGACAATAGTCAGGAAAAAACCCTAATGACCTTAAGGAAACTCGAACTTGTGACTTATAAGCAAGGCCCAAAAGCCTAATTTTTATTTGCGAACTTGAACCAGCACCAAGATTAAGCAATGCCTTTTGTCGTTTTTTCTCAGTGTGAATTGACATTCGTGTCTTAATAAAAAAAATCTGCCAATTCTTTTACGCAATTTCTATGGTGTCGATTATGGAGAGGCATGGACCAGTTTCTCGTTAACGAATGACCAGTTTGCAGCCTTTTTGAACCGGTTAAGAACCAATTATAAGTTTAAAATTTAGGACCAAAACGGTCTTTCGCATATAACCGGTGTTTGAGCTGATCCTTTTTTGGATCGGTCCTTGGCTCTTACAAGTCCAAAATCAATTAACTTGTCCTTTGTTTATATATAAATAATAAATGTATCGATTTATCAATCATTAAAACTAATATCTATACTATATTATAAAATATTTATCTGTCTCATAATTAATCAATTTAAAAAAACAAACAATAAAATAATTTTTGGTTTGTAATCGAATTTTATATTAAATAATATCGCATAATTACGATTCTAACATTGTTAGAAGGAGAATGTTATTTGTAATTTTTTTTATGTAATAATCAGATTTAGTTATGTACTGTAAATGTAAAAAGTAAGTTTTAATATTGATTTATATGAAAGAAAATTAATAAGTAAAAATACATTTAACGATATTAGAAGGGTA